TCATAACTATAATACTATTTTAGGTCATTCCCATTTGTTTAATTTAGCAATTTGTCAAGCCTTTTTTAATGTTTTTGTTATTGTATGCTATCTTTATGTATCACTGGCAATAACCCTACCCAAAATAATTTACTAAGCACATACTCTGGAATTACAAAGAATGCAATAAAGCAATAAAGAAAGAATATATAAAAAAGAAACTCATTTTAAATTTATAAATTCTAATCAATGATAGTGTCAGACAGTCTGTAATAATAATAAGAATTAAACCATAACAATTACTCTGACTGTAATTAGATTATCAAAAGTCTATTGAAAATCTAGTTGTTTAAAAATAATGTATATCATAACACTAATAAATTTTCATTGAGTATTAATAACCATCTGTTTAAAACTAACACCACTTGTGTAATTGTCTTTGATTAACACCACTTGTATAGTTGATATTACAACGTTTTGTATTACGCAATGTTATATATTCTTCCAAGCTGCTATATTACTGTAAGCATGTCTCAACACTTCATCTTAACATAAAAAAAAAGAAACCAGGAAATTTGCGTCTTTTATCTTCAACGCATCATCAACAAGATCAATCAGTGCAGCCATTAAAGCATGGCGAAAAAAAAAAAAAGGTGTAATTGCATATTAGAAATTGCTGTCTTTTGATTTTGTTTCGTACCTTTCGAAAGTGAAAACGAAACCCAATACTACGCCTCATGTCTCCAGATTAAAGAGAATGTCTTTATTGATGCATTTTAACAATAAGTAAAGTTTTATTGGTAGATTTTTTTATAACTTGAAGTACTTCAACTTATATCAGTATGTCTTTTTCGAAAATTAATACAGAACAAAATAATTTTCTGCAAGTCTATTTAATGTTGTCATCTTTATGTTTTTATATCGTTATCTAGCGTGATTCAAATTTTTAATAAATAAAAATATTGCGCTGGAGGGATAATTCTTAGCGTTAGTTTTTCATTTTTAAATACGTACATTTAAGATATTAGATAACTTCAGATAATTTTTTATATGATAAATGCACCCAAAAGAGTTTATCTGAAACATAGACAAAAATCATTTGAAACCAAATCTTGAAGAAAATATCAATAAAAATCACAATTTAAGTTATAATTGGTCTTTATAAGGACGCCTACAAATTATGCGCTAATCTGTATACAGTGACTATTGGGTTGGAGACCCCCCGATACTTGTTATTAAGGCCCTAGAGTCATAAAAATTTTCACTCAATATTACTAAAAAACAAACAAACAACAAGCTTAAGTTTAACAAAAATAGGCCCTTACATTATAAATTGGTCCCCGAAAGTTGTTGTTCCCTATCCTCCCCCTTTTCCCCTCAAAGGCTAGGCAATGTATAACATTATTATAGAGATCGCTCAAATTAATGTAAACGCATTTTATGTTAAAGGTATATAAATGGGATAACATAGCCCTTTAAAAAAAATTCAATAATTTCGGAAATTTACAATTTTTTTTTTAATTTGTTAAATTTTATTTATGAATTCAAATCTTAATTTATAAATCATGGTTGTCAAATTTCTAAAGAGATTTAATAACTATATATGATGCTATACAAAGTTAAACAAATGATGTAACTATTAACCATTATTGGCAATATTGTTCTTATTGTTTTACGATATTTTTTAATTTTAACTCAAAAGATTTTATATGAGAATTATAGAGAGTTCATTTAATTATTTTACCGTAATTAATAGCTCACTATTTGCAGGCGCGTAGGAAAGTCTAATGTGTACGACGTACACACATTCAGTAGATTTCGTGCATTATACTTTTCATATTAATAACTGGTATGTAGTTTTATATTGATATACAGTGATACATGAGATAAATTTAATTTTAATTGTTTTCACCATTTATGTCAAAAATTTCATTTAAATTTAACTGGTCCGTGATTTTTTTAAAGAAATATAGAAATATAGTTTATAATATTGCTAATACTTATACTTGTTAATACTATATTGGTATGAAAAAATTACAGAATAAGGTTGTATTGCTATAAAAAAACGAATTTACAATTATGTTATTAAATGCAGTATATTTAATGTTTTTTTTTTGTTTTGTTTTATATGTTATAGTTATTATTAATTTCAATTAATATTCGTCCAAAAAAAAAAAAAAAAAAAAAACGCAAAGATTTTAGTAAATGTGCAATTTAAATACAGTGTGGAAGATTCTATATGAACTAAAACAAGTGGATATTCATAAAAGTTGATTATTTTCATATCTATTTGCACATTTGATCTATTGAATTACATCCCTTTTCTATTAAGTAACATGTTTTTTATTTTAGAATGTAGTTAGAGAGTTTTTACGCAAGGGAGTTTTTATTCTCTCAGAATTCAACTCAGTTTTAAAACTTTTTCACCGAGTAATAATAGTTTTCTCTCTTAATTTTTAACTTACAATATTGTAAACTGTTGTTAAATTAAATTGACTGTATGCTTTGAGGGGCTATATTATAGCTAAAAATTTATTAATTAGTAATATATACATATTTGCACTCTAAATACTATCTTATATCTGCATTCTAAGTAAATTACGTTTAGTTTATAAATTATTTTTTGCTTTGTGTTGTTGCAGTCTTTAATTATTTTTTTTTATATTGATTTATTAAATTGAGTTAGTTCCTCTCTAAGGCATATTTGTAATGAAGCAGTATTTGGGTTATTATCTTTATTTTTTATACTAGCATGTATGTTTAGCAATTAGATTTTAGACCTGGGTTTTATTTTATATACTATGATCAATACATACTAATTTTCTGCTTTCAGAACATTTTGAAATATTTATCATCAAGTAATATATAAGGTATAGGTGTAACAACTGGTGTTAAAAGTTGTAAAGTGCAATAACAGTAGATATTGCACTGTAACAGCTCAGTTTGTTTTTTATTTATATTTTTACAAAAAGTTTCTACAAAATTCAGATTTGTCTAGTTTATTTTTGAAGTTATTCATTGAAACAGCTTCTACTATTTCAGATGGTAAGTTATTACATGCATTTACAACTTGATTTTGGAAAAAGTGATATCTGAAGGTGTTTTTGCAGTAAGGTTTTTTCATTTTGAATTCGTGTTATATATTCGTGAATTCGTCGTAAATACGGACTTTCATTTGATGTGTTTTGATAATTGTTAGTAACCCAATTTATTTTATCATGGCCATGTTGAATTTTAAAATGTTGAATAAGATCTTCAATAAGTCTATGTTCTTCTAGAGTCGTTAATTGCATAATATTTTATCTAGCTTCATAAGGTAATTTTTTAATTGTAGGTGCTAGTTTGGTTGCTCTTTTTTGAATCATCTCAAATTTATCTATATCTTGTTGTAGGAGTGGAAATCATGCTTGGACCGCAGACTCAAGGTGTGGATTTATGAATGTTGTATAGAGCTTTTTTACTATGTTTACATCTAAATATTTAAATGTTCTCTTTATGATATCTAATATTCTGCTAGTTACAGAATTAACTTGTGAGTGCCATTTTAGATCCGATTGAACCATTATCTTAAATCACATTCAGCATATGTGCTCATTTTTCAGCATATGTGCATCAGCTTTTAATAAACTTATTTTGTCTGACACATTGTCTAACTCAATGACAACTGGTAGTATTTTTAAAGTATCTCTTGTTTTAAGTCTGATTACTTTTTTTTATTTTATCCATGTCTGCATTTATTGAGTCAAAAATATCTTTTACCATATCCTCATCAGATTTTTTCTTGTCGATATTATCATGGTTTGCTAATTTAACTCCAAATATAACAATATTATTTTTTCTTTTATTACGATCTTTTTCCTTATGTATAACTGTGTTTATTATATCATTTAGCCTTGATTTGCTTTAGCTTTTTTTTTACGACTCCACTTCAGTTATTTTGATTCTTTGATTTATCTTGGCGTAATTTATTTTCTAAATCATTTACCATTTTTTCAAGAATATTTATCAAAACATCTTTTTCATTTTTTTTTTTTTTTCTAATTACTTGATTTTTTCTTGCATTTCTTGTAGTAACATATTTATTTCTGAATTTTTTGGTGGCATTTTAAAAGTGAAAACAAACCAAATCAACTCTCATCAATAAACCAACTTCAAGTTCTTTGTTAGGAAGGCTACCACCCAAAAACAGTGGGTTACCTCTGGGTCGTAAATTTCTAAAAATATATGTATATATTTTTGCAAATGAATGTGGCTTATTAACACAAATACTGTAAAAAATTTAGATGTTTTTTTCTGTCTTTCAAATTTTTTTCAAATAAAAAGAGATCTGTAAACCCTGTTTCTTCTAAATTAAGAGAGATCTTATTAAGTTTGTTTAAGTTGGTTTAAGTTAATAAGTTAGTTTATTAAGATATTTTTTTTACTGGTTTCTAATAGGAAATAAACAAACAGCTTCACAATAGATGTTTAGTTTGTTTATATAAGAAAATATGCATTAAAGTAGCTAATTATTTTAATAAAAAGTTGTATTTACTATTTGTTTTATATAAACTTTTTTTTGCTGCAATAAATGATTTTCATAACTCATACACATATCAGCCTGTTTGTTTTAAAAGTTTTTTTTGTATTGAATTGTTATTGGTTAGTTTTTTTTAGCTTATTATTTATCATTTAAAGTTATATAAAGATATGTCTATTATTGTTTATCATTTAGATTTAGGTAGAAATATGTCTGTTTTTGTTTATCATTTAGAGTTATGTAGAGATATGTCTGTTATGGAACCAAATGACGATTTCGATGTGACTAATTTGCTACCTGATGATTGTTCTGAAAGTTCAGAGTTCCTAAGAAATCAGCTGCCCAAAAAACAAAAATTAAAACCTTGGTTATTGGACCAAATAAACAGTGGTAAATACCCTGGTCTTGATTGGATTGATAAAAGCAATCAGATATTCAAAATTCCATGGAAACATTTTGGGCGACCGGGAGAATATGATTCTAACTATGCAATGTTGTTCCGGTATTCTTTACTCTATTTAAAGTAGTAATAGTTACTATATACTTTGTCGTAATTATAAACCATAAAACAACACCAATTATAGAAATAAGTCAATTTTAATAAATAGTCAAGTTTTAACTGCATTCTAACCATTCAATCAAATATTTACTAAAAAATTGTTTTTAGTTATTAAACTTCTTGATCACGAAGCTTGGTTATTTGTGTTTGTTTTTCATAATTTAAAAAAAATGTTTAACTGCCCCCAAAAAGATTTGATTTTCTGTTTAAAATTTAATTTAAAAATTGATTTTTATAATAATTTTTGCTTATAAATATCTCTTGCTCAGTAAAATTCCTGAGCTACTTTAATCTCATGTAATCTAAATAGTTTCTTCAATTAGCTGTAACTTGAGTTATTTTGAATAAATCTTTAACTAGAATAAATTATTACTTTAAAAGTCATCATATGAGTATAAACAATTTAATTCATGTATTAGTAAAATCCTTCAACTATATTTATATATTTGATTTTAGCAATCGATGAATTAAATTGTTATACTAAATTTATTTTTAAATTTTTATACTATACTTTAAGATATAGAAAGCTCTTCTCATTAAATAGAATTGTTTTTTTATTTAGTAACTTATCTATTGTTAATTTAAACTGTTTATTTTAGTTTGATTCTGATTGTATTGATGGGCTATTCACTAAGTCATTATTGTATTCTGTTTATTTCTCAGTCAATTTTTTGTTTTTAATATTTCAGAGTTTTTTTTATTGTAATATAAGTTTACCAAGCATATCAAGAATAAAAAATTGTGTTATTTTATAAAATAACTACACATTTTATGCTATTAAAACATTCAAGATTGTGAGTGTCAATTCTTTTTCAGATGCATATCTGAAAAAGAATTGACACTCACAATAAAAAAAAGAATTAATATTAAAATGTATTCTACTTGATTCAATAAAAAAGTACAGTTATTAAAATTTTTGTAAAAAGTAACTCAAAAAAATTACTTAAATAATAACGATCGCTTTTACGTTAAAAGTTACCGAAACTCAACGAAGCGTGCTCAAGAACAGCTGCTGAAAAATAAAACGTCAATAGTTTTTTGAATAATTTTTAAGAATAATTTTTTCGCTGAAATATTTCTTTTATACCTATAAGATTTTTATTCTAACATTTTATTTTATTTTACTAGAAATAAAATTCCTTGTTAACATTAAAAATCTATTCAAAACGTTCATTTAAGTTTTTTATTAATACGATTGTGCTTATCAACCGCTTTATGAAAATAAATAAAAATAAATAAATAAATATTATATAAAATCGCTTGTAAAAATATTTACAAGTAAAATAGCTATTGCACAGTTTTTAATCGTACAATATTAAAGTTTCCAGTTTATTACTCACTGACTTTTTAAAAAGAAAAAATAATAATTTAAAAAACTTTAAATTACATATTTAAGAAAAAAAAAATCAAATATTAGCATATTTTATATTCTTTTTTAAATTTAAGTTATGTTTTTTATTCATTTAGTATAGACAAAACGTGACAAACGTTGAGAAAATAAACAAATGTTTTTACATTTTAAAAAACGAAACATTCCAAAACATTTTTAAATAATAACATTTCTACATAAACGATTTAAAGTAGTTTGCGGTAATTAAGTAAATTGGTGCAGTTAATGTCGATAAATATGAAAAGCAAATAAAAAAAATTTAATGACGTCAAAAATCACGTCGTGCTTATGTGTCGCGTAGTTCTTATTCATCGCAAGGCCTGCCTTCAGTCAGCAAATTTGAATCTTTTTTTTTTAGATTCAGTTTGCAATATGAGACTTATTAATTTATCTTTATTCTGCATTTTGAAGAACTGCAGGACATTTTTTTAGGTCGCAAAATAATCATAAGGTACCCCTTCATTTAACACCTAGTGGCGATGCCTTATACCCACCAAAAGTATGCAAACAAAAATTACGTCCATGAAGATTTAGTTTTTGTTGTTGTTTTTTCATTAGCAATCCTCGCTTAGGCTTTCATCCTATTCAAAAGTGTTAAGGTACAGGGGTGCGCAGGTTATCGCAGAAAAGTAAAAATATTTATATCTCAAAAATGGCTTTTATTTTCAAAGTAAAACTTTTCACAATACCAAATCACATATATTTTTACTCAAAAACACTAATGAATTTCAAAGTAGCCTCCTTTGGCATCAATGACACTCTTCAAACGCTCTGGAACTGACTCACAGCATCGTCGCACCATGTCCGGACTAAGATTTTTCCAGATCTTCTTCAATTCGTTTCGGAGGGCTGCCAGATTTGGATATGTTTTGGCTGCCTTCTTGGTCTCCATGACACTCCATATAGCAAAATCCATAAGATTAATGTCTGGGCTTGAAGGGGGCCACATATCTGGGGTCCAAAGGTGCAGAACATTTTCTTTTAAGAAGCTGACAGCTTTCTTTGCACTGTGTGCTGGTGCACTATCCTGCATAAAGGCTCATGGATCGTCCCCAAACTTCTTTTTGGCCCAAGGAATGAGGTTAGCTTTGATGAAGTCGACATAGGTCACTTGGTTGACTTTTACACCTTCAGGAACAAAAACAAGGGGAGTTTTTGACCCATCAGAGCACACACCTGCCCAAACCATGACGCCCACAGGGTGCTGTCTCTTTGGAATAGTCCTCAGTTCCAAAGGAACTGTTCTTCTGGACTTACCAAGAACTCTGTCATTGTATCTGTTGAGTTCTGGTTCAACTGTGAAAATTTTTTCATCACTGTAAACGATAGGGATATCTTTGTGGTCTTTGAACCAATTTAGTAACTCTTTTGATCTTTTGCGTCTTTTGGCTCTAGTTGCCTCACTCAGAAGTTGTCTTTTTGACTTGACAAGGCTCTTCATACCTAGATCATTGTTGACAACACGTTGCATAGTCCTTCGAGACACACCTGCTTCTCTAGCTAAGGATGAAATTGACCTGTTTGGGTTTCGTCGTACTTTGCAGTCGATCGAATTTCGAAGTTCTTTAGTTCTCACATAACGATTTGGGCCTGTTTTTTTTCTTTTGTAATTTTTCCCAGTTTCTAAGTCTTTTAAGAGTCTATAGACGTTGGAATTATGAAGCTGTCCCTTCACGGTTTTGAAAATTTCAACTTTTTTCACACCTCGTTTCCATAGATCAAAAACAAGTTTTCTTGCATTTTCATTTTGCGTGCTGTCAAATCGTGCCATTTTTTACAACTAAATTAGTGAAAAATGACATTTTTTAAGGATTAACTTGTTGAACTGTGTTGCATTTTCCCGCCAAAAATGTTTTTCACTGTATATCATATTTTTTGCCGCGAAATTTTTGTTTTCATTTTTTTTTGCGATAACCTGCGCACCCCTGTAAACATGTGATAAGGAGTCAACAATTTGTAGATCCTTTCTTGGATTTTTGGGATCTTATTTAAAGTATATGAGGTGGTACTTCTGACAGCAGCTTATCGAAGGTATATTCTAGAAATTTGAACGTTTTATATATATATATATATATATATATATATATATATATATATATATATATATATATATATATATATATATATATATATATATATATATATATATATATATATATATATATATATATATATATATATATTATAACATTCACAAGCAAAAATGATTGCTAAAAGTTCTTTCTCTATTTAGGCATATTATACTTTATACTAAGGCTGTGAGAAGCTGATAAGGTGGTCTTCTTGCATAATAAATGCTCTTAATAATTGAAAATGCATCAACTTCTATCTAGACATCTTTTGCTGTGTCAAAAAATTTGAGTACAGGTTAAAATGAAAGAATTTTTTTAATTTTTTCAAATGCACCTGTATATTCTTGCATATCTTTTTTTAAGAGTAGATCTTAAAAAAAGATATGCAAGAATATACAGGTGCATTTGAAAAAATGCACCTGTATATTCTTGCATATCTTTTTTTAAGATCTACTCTTAAAAAATTATAATCATTACTTTCCATTGTTGCTGCAACATGGTTTATGTATAACTCTGCAATATCAAGGTCGAGGTTGTCTTTATTTTATGATCTACACAACTAGTAATAAAGTGATTAATTTTGGATCTATATACTTTTGCAAAATGATGTAGTTTTCCACATTGTGTACACTTTTGACAATACGCTGAGCAAGGTTTTGTATGTTGTGACCCACAATATTTTTTGTATTGGTTTATTATTCTTGAGGGAATTAAAATTAGTTCTGTTTCCTTGTATATTTACAGCATCTGACTGGGTTGTATTTTTAAAGGCTTTCAGTGAGGTTTTCAGTCTTTCACAGGAAGACATGCTATCGCACATCTTTATATGACCAGGCAAATTACATTTTACTATGATGATTTGACCGTGGCTATTTCAAAAACATTTTAAAAACGCGCTAACTAAAAAATATTCTGAAAAAGTGAAATTAATTACATCAAAACTTCTTAACAAATGTTTTTACATTAGCAAAACGCTTTTAAATAAAGTAACAATTTACTGATAATATTTTTTTTTTTTTTAATATAATTGACAGTTGTAAGTATTTTTTAAATTTATAATATATAAGTTGTTTAAGTGTGCGTTTCTATGATAAGCGTTATTAAAAAATTAAAAATTGTTTTGTCTTTATAAGCAATGAATTCTACAACAACGAAAGTCTCTTAAATGAATTTTAATATAAAGATAATTAAAGTTAATACATTTAAAAACAAAAAAATAAAATTTCATTGAAATAAAAGGACAAATGTTTTAGAAAGCCGTTACAATTATATAAGTTTGATCTTAAATGCTTTTATATTATTGAAACGCTTTTTAATGAAGTAACAAAACACTTCCAAATGAATTTTTAAAAATAAGTATTAATAAACTATATATTTTTTTTTATTTATATAGTTATGTATTTTTTTATGAAAAATGTTTATATTTTGAAACATTAAATAAATAAAAAAATGAAGTACAAATGTTTTTTTAATACGTAAAT